ACAAAAACTACCCCTCCCCAACAAAACACACCTTTGAGCCGGAGGCTTAGAAGTGCGTCGGCGACACTGGCCTTGGAGGGCACCCGCTCGAACTCGACGAACCACCCTCGTCGAGCGGCGAGTGTCCAAAAGGCAGAGATCATGCCATTGACCGCCGTATCCTTGCCGTAGCCCTTCGTCAGTGCCGCCTGACCCGCCGTGTTATCGATGAACGCCACGATGGTCGGCGGCATCATCTTGGCGAAAGCGGCGAAGGCGATGATCTGGGCGAACACTTCGAGCATATAGATGTAGGCCCGGCGTGCGGCGAAGAGCTTGACAAACCACGGCGGCACCACACCATGGTCGTAAAAGACCCTGTCGCCGATCCGCAAGACGAATCCCCATCCATTGGCGGCGCGTTGGCGCGGCGATGGGTTCAGTCCATCCGGCACGTGCCCTGCCTTGTGTCGCCGTTCTCCGTCGGTAAAGAAGGCATCGGCGTAGAGCACAGCCATGTCCAGCTGGGCGGCGTCAAAGGGCACGAACCTGGGCCGGGTCGTCGGCAGGATGTTCACCAAGGTCTTCAGCGCCGCCGCGAGGCCCGGCGAGAGAGCGTCGTTGGACCATGCCGCCGTGTCGGCGGCTCTGGCGTAGATGGCCTTGGTCGCCGCCCGGGCCACGGCGCCGAACACCGCCTGTGTCAGGAAGGCCACCCTTCCCGCCAACCGCGACGCATCGTCTGGGGTAAGGCTGTCGTCGTCCAGGGCCCGGCGGAGCTGTGTCAGGATCTCCTCCACCCTCCTCGGCGTGGGGCTGAGTGTCACGCCGGTCTCGTCGATGTGAAAGGTGACGCCCTGTACGATGTGCTCCTTGGCCGGCGGCTGCGCCTTGGATGTCTTGGTGAGGAAGCCGAGTGCGGCGAACAGGTCCTGGAAGCCATCGGCGGCCGACTCGCCGAGGTCCTCGTCCTCCACGCCGTTAAAGTCGTCCACGTAGTGACCGGTCGGCGCCAGCAGCAGCCCTCTGAGGAGTTGCTGCAATGCGTCGGCGGCTCTGTTAAAATTCCAAACAGACGCCGTCGCCCCAAAATTCATCGCCACATGAAACCAGAAGGTCACGCCGTGCTTCGTCGCCAAAAAGGTGCCGCATGTGCCGGTCGGCGAACATGCCATTGCCTGTAGGCGTTGAGCAAGTCGTGGCCGAAGACCACCAGCCGCCGGCGATCGGCGGCCATCCGCCTCGCGAGGTCGACGAAGCTGCCCACGAAATGGTGGGTCGGCACATCGGCGACTGTGACCGTGGAGTTGTGGCCCGATCGGCGCCAATCCTCGGCTCTCCTCACCTTGAGCTCGCCGTTCTCGTCGGTCTGGCAGACTGGAAAGGAGGCGGCGAGGAAAGTGTCGCCGGGAGGCGGCTCGTTGATGGTGTCGACGTCCTGGTGGTCGGCGACTGTGGTCTCCCGCACGCTATGTAGCCAATCCGGCGGCCGTGTGGGCCCGATCACCCGACCCAGGCGCTTCTCGGCGATGAGCTCGAGGAGAAGTTTCTCGGAGTGTTCGTCGACCCTCGCCGTGTGCACCTTCCTTCTCACATAGTCGGCGTTGGTCGCAATGAGATCGGCGATGGGGACGGGATTCTGGTACTTCCCGTCTTCGCGGCGACGCCATCCCGGGCCTGGCCTGATTTCGCCGAGCATCTGGAAGCCGTCGGTCATATCTTCGGTGAGCGCTGTGAGGTCTGGGTAGTTCAGCCGGCGAAGCAGCTCGAGAAAGGCCAGAACCCGCGTCGGTGCCGGCTTGTCCGGCGTGGAGTAAGTGGCCCGAACCCAGGAGGAGCGCGCCGCCATCCAGGTCCTAGACTCCTCGTCGAGGTCGTCGATCAGCAGGTGGACCTCGGCTACGACCTCCCGGCGGATGCGGACCAAGTCGTGTCGGCGGCGAAGTTCCAGAAGAAGCTCCCATGCAGGTTCCAGTGGCGGCGGCGTGGCCAGAGGATGCTTCAGAGCCCAAGACGCCCTCCAATGTGCATCCTCGTCGAGTTCTTGGAGCGCCGCCAGGCTGGGCTTGGCCGGCGCGGGTCCTCATGGGCGGGCCGGCCGGCCCCCAAAGTTCGGCGACCCACTGGATGGTCGATCTTGGTGGTGTCGCCGGTATCGCCGCTGCTGTTGGCAAGGACGCGGCGGCGTGGACGAGGACCGCCAAGAGGAACCGGCGAGCGACGCCCCAGTGCCACCCGTTTCCCAAAAGCCGGTGGCGGGTTCTGGGTTCCAGCTCGCCCTGCGGCGTTTTCGCCGTGAAGTCCTTCGGCATGTGGTGGAGCTGTTCTTTGGCTCCCGGCGTCAACACCACCAGCTTCCCCTGGTCATCGGCGAGCATGGCGTCGCGCTGATAATGCCACGGCGCGAACTGGCGGCTGTCTTGAAGCCACCGCTGCTGAACATCCGTCGTGACCTTGCCCCGCATGGATCTCGGCGGTGGTCTCCCTCTCTCATCGGCTGCTGGCGTGGTAGAGCAAGGCAGCCGAATGCGTCCAGATGCCACCGCGTCGGAGAACCTGAGGCCGTCGAGGTCGAAGCTGTCTGGGGCGGCCCGCGGCGAGTCTAGACGCAATCGGTCCCAGCGGCGGTGAAGCACCCATGTCCAGCGCTCCGCCGTGGACGGGTCGTGGGTGACCTCGTCCCAATCGACAGACGACCACCACAGGCGGGGCCGTCCGATCCACCCAAAGTCGGCGGCGTCGGCGAAGACCGGCTGACAGCCGAGCTGTTTGGATGCCTCCGCTGCGTCGGCCTGTGTCATCTCGACGTTTTCCACCAGGAAGCCAAAGCGTCGTGGCGCCAACCGGCGCCTTAGCTCATCCATGAACTCCGCCGTGAAGTTGAAGAGGTAGCCTCGGTTCCCGGCATGCCCGTCGCGGTCGCCGATCTTGGCACGGCGGCGCCGCGGTGAAGATGATGATGCACTCGGCCTTGCCGTCGATGTGCTGGATCTCGGCGGCGAGGTCCTCGGGCGTGTCCTCCGTGATGTCGCCGCGGTGCCTGATCCCCGGGATGTGGTAGTCGGCGACCTGGATCGCCGCGCGGTCCACTTCCCAGGAGAAGATCGCCCGCGGCTCGCCGATGAGATCCCAAACCAGCCACGGCGCGGCGCCCACGCCGTCCAAAGCCGAAAGCACTATGACCTCGGCGCCGGCTGGAACTCGGGCTGAAAGTCTAAGTTTCTTCGGCGTCCGGTCGGGTACCTCGGTGTGGGCGGTGCCCCCTTCCGAGGGCCCGTGCTGTCCCTAGCGGCGGCCACCGCCTTTGCCGGCGCCTGTGCGCTTCCATGGTCGTTCGCCGCCCTCGGCGTTCTGGTGCCTCTGATCGGCGCCGGCGTGGCCCCACCAGGTCTGCTGCTGCTGCTGCTGCTGTTTGCCGCCGCCCCTCGTCGACCACCAGCTCTGGTCCTGCTGGTGGGCTGCGTCCGTCTTCTTCGGCGGGTCCTGGTCTTTGCCGTCGCGGCCCTTGCCCTTGGGCTTGCCCGGGCGACGGCGTTTGCGGCGATTGCCGCCTCCCCAAGCATTGGCTCCCTGGTCGTCGTATTCTTCAGTAGCGGTGTTGGGGTCGGCGGGCGGCAAAGTCGGGGGCCTCCTGGGCGAGAACCTCCTGCCAGGTCGCGACGTCATTCATCACGCCCGTCACCGCCTCGCCGAAGGAGGTGCTGTTTCGCAGCGCCATGGCGATCGTCCACGCCGACTTGTGCCAGAAGGCCTGTATCGCCGGTACCATGTCGGCGTGCGCCCTGGCCTTGGCCACGAACCAGTCGGCGTACTTCATCACGTCGTCCTCCTCGCCAATGCCCACCAGGATCCATGCCCACCTTGCGGCGTTGGGGCGGCAGAGGATTTCGCCGAGGGTGATCGGCGTATACATCTTGGTCACGGTGTGTTCGAACCACATCCGTGCCAGCACCTCCTCGGCGCCCAGGAGCTCTTGGACGGGGAAGGTACGGCGTTTCCCGTCGAGCAGTCGATCCTCATACGCCTTCACCTGTTGAGTCCACGCCGCAAAGGTTTTCGGCGGGCGATCTGGGATATGTCCCGGCGTAGCTGACCCTGGCGGCGAGTGACCGGCCGGCGGCTGTGCTGCCGCCGACGCCGCTGGCTGTGCCGGTGGGGCGGTCGGCGCCTGGGAGAAGGTGTCCCATTGGCGGCGCGCTTCCACGAACAAGTGCATCATGATGGCCGTCGCGACCGGCTCCTCGCCCGCCTCCACCTTGTGGTCAGTCCCGTCGATAGTGACCCCGGCGAGGAAGGGTGCGATGACCATCGTCGTGATTAAGTCCTCGGCGTTCTTGGCGATCAAGGCGAGCGTCGGGGTGGCCGATATCTTCTTGGCGGCGAGGTACTGCCTGATGCCGTCGCCGGCCCCCGCGGCGTTGAAGAGCTCGCTCAGCTGGACCATTTGTGAAGCCACCGTCGGGGCGGCGGCCATGGCTGCGGGAGTTCCTAGAATCTTAAACCGGCAAAACTACGGCGGTAAGAAAGAGTCGGCGGGCGCGAACCACGCCGATCCTGGCAGCAAGGCTGAGAAGTGTGTCGTCGTCGTCTCTTTTGGGCTTCCGTGGTAATGGTCGCGGCGTTCCCGCCGTCTGTGCTAACATCAAAACTGTGCCGAGGTTCGGCGACCACGGCTGCGGCGGATGAGCTGTCCGAGGACGACACCGCTTCCGGCGTGTCCAGGTCGACCGGCGTCTCAGGGAAGCACCGGCGGCACATAGACGGATTCGGCGGCAGGTCGTGTAGCCGATAAAATTGGCGCACGCCGTATGGCCAGCCGCAACGAGCCTGCCACTCGGCTCGCTCCGTCGATGACTCCTCCGCGGCGGGCTTGTGTAGCAGGCGGGTGCGGCAATTCATCACATAGTGTGTCGCCGTGTCCGCCGGTACCAGGGCCCGCTCCGCCGAGATCGGCGCGGGCACGAAGTCGATGGCCGGCAGCTCGGCCGAGAAATCGACCGCCGGTACCCCCGGCGCGGCCATCGGCTCCGCCGCTGTCCCTCGGCGTGGCGTCACAGATCGCCGCTGCCCACTGGGTCTGTCCTAGAGCGCGGCCGGCGAGGGTCCCAGTACGGCGTTGGCCTGTGTGCCCCCCGCTGCCAGCGCCTGAGCCGGAATGCCCGGCGCCACCGCCAACGGCGCCTGCTGTGTGTACCTCTCCACGGCGGTGCTGGACCACCGCCCGATCAGCTGAATGATCGCGACCGGCACGCCGCGCAGTGCCAAGAACATCGCCCCGGCGACCCTCGCGGCGTGCCCGCCGAAGATGAACCTCCTGTGCCCGGCGCTGTCGGAGTAGATCGTCTGCAGGCCGGCGGCGGACAGGACCATGTTGAAGAGCTCGGCGGTCTCAATTTTGGTTCGCTGCTGCCCGCCCGGGGAAGAGGTAGGCCCCCGGCTCTGTGCGAGCCAGTCGTCGTAGGTGGCGGTCGAGCACCTGGGACACAACGGCTGCCTCGCCGTGCTGCAGACACACCGAAAAGACCGGCGGGTGAGCTCCAACTGGCCGCCCTGCGCCGTCTTATGAAGAGGGATATCCAGGGAGACCGCCGCCGCCGTGATTTCAATGTCCTTGACCCTGGCGCCGGCGATCTCGATCTCGCGGAGCATGAACCACGTGGAGACCACCACCACGTCGACGGCGTGGGGCAGGATGTTCATGTCGAGGCTGCCGTCGACCACGTCGTGCTCGTCCAGGGTGGCCAGGTCGGCGAGGTCGAAGGCCTGCTTCAATCTGGATCCCGGCAGGCCCCGCAACGCCGCTTTAATAATCGACCTTGCGGCCCGGCGCAAATCAGCCGAGACCGGCGATCGCAGGCGGTGTTCCTGGTGCCACAAGGCGGCGTCAAGATATAGGCCGGCTGAGCGGTACCCGCCGATACGAAGGGCACCGGCGAGAAGCTGCAGCTTCTGTGCGTCGAGGGGAAACAGCTGGAAGTTCCCCTTCTCGGCGAGGGTGGTTAGCATCCTAACCCGCGACTCCATCGATCGGCGGGTGGACTGCGCCAGCAAGTTGGAGTCGATCGCCGCCGTCATCGACGCCCGGGTGGATGACCTCCTTTCTGGCACGTCGGTCCTGGTCTGCGACACCAGCGGCGCCGGCTGCTGCGGCGGCACCGGGGCCAGGATCGCCAGCAAGACCGTCTCCGGCACGCCGTGGTCGAGCAGCACTGGGAAAGATTCCCGCACGGCCGGCGTGTTAGTCACTCCCAGGCGGGCAAAAGTCGTCAGATGCGCCGTGCCGCCCGCCTCGGCGACAACCTTAAGGAAATCCCCAAAGTTGGCGCCGGCTGTCGTCGTCACGGGCACCCAGGCCATGCTGGTGCGGCCTAGTCGTCGTCGGCGGGGGCAACCTCGAGCCAGAGCAAAAACGGCTGCGACACCAGGGCAAAGACAGCAGCGGCGACGACCGACGAAGAGGGAGAGAACAACCGGCGACGACACAAGGCGCGACCGGCGAGGCTTCAGGAGAGACTTTTGGCGCCATGCGGCGGGTGCTTGGAAACGGCAGAGACGGCGACCCAGGTCGCAAAACATTGCCGGCGGAAGAGTCTGGTCGGCGACTAGTGCCGCAAAATGTGCCTCAACGGCGTTCGCCTGGAGCTCGGCGATGTTGTCATCGATCGGCCTCTCTGCCGGCTCCGGCGTGCGTCGCCCCCACCTCGGCGACTAATCCCATGGCGCCTTGAGGCCGGCGCACACGGCGCAGTTGTGGTCAAAGTGATCGGCGCCGTTGTCGATAATGACAGGCCTCAGGCACCTACCGACACCGGCGTGGGTGAGCAGTCGGCATTCGGCGACATACTGACACCCCGGCGCGGTACAAGGATGTGTGCACCAGCCGGCGACTCTGCGGCGTTCCTTCTGCCGTTCATAGGGGATCCTGGCGCCCAGATACCCCTCAGGGAGGCGGCGGCAGAACCAGTACCCGCAGAAGGTGGGTGCGGATACCGGCGGGATTTTCGGCACAGCTGACTCGTCGCCGGCGGCCGCCGCTTCTTCCATCTGGATCACCTCCTCCACCGTCTGGCGTGCCAAATGGCGGATGGCTTGCGGCGGAGGGTCCTCGGCGACAGCTCCCCGGCGATGCATCCGCTCTTTGTAGCGGCCGTAGTCCGGCGTGAGGTTGCGGCGAATCTCCGCCACCTCGGCCTCCGACAGCCTGGAACGGATGCCGACGGTGCCCGACCGCCGCGTCGGACCCGGCGAGGGGGATGCCACTCGATCCGGCGTCCGTCGGTCTGCTGGATCCACTGAACGGCGCCTCGGTGTGGTCGTCCTGGCCGGCGTCGGGGTAGAGCTCGTTGGCTGGGCCGTCGAAGTAGATCCTGTAGTGCTGGCCGGCGTGGTCACCTCGGGCGGCAATGGTCCCATGACCGGCGGCGCTGGCACCCATGTCACCGGGCTCGCCGTCAAGGGAGGTAATCCTGGACCGGCGCGGGATCATCGGCGGTTGCCGGCCGCTCACCTCCCCTGCGCTCGGCCCTGCCTCGGCGTGTCTCCTCGGCGCTCTCGGGCTCCCGGATCGGCGGGAAGACCTGCCTGCGCTGGGTCGGCACCGGCGACTGAGGATCGAATCCAGGGCCGGCGTTGTTCTGATTGGACATCGCCAGGCGAATCGCCGCCTCATTAAAACCTCGTCGGTGGCCGCCACAGAGCCAGGCGTGAAGGCGGCGAGGTTGACCGTAGATCTCGAAGGCGGCGAGGAGGGGCGTGTCGGCCGCTGCTCGGCGCCTCGTGGTGCTCGACGCCGGCGTCCCTCGGCGTCAATCTCAAAGGTCACCCCCGGCGTCTGCGCCGCAGAGATAGCTGCCGATTCTGCCTCCATCCGGGCGTTGCCCCGGCGAACCATCTCCGGCGTGAGGCCCCATGGTGTGCCGTCGCCCGGCGTAGTGCTCCCTGGTGTGCTGGCGGCCGTCTGAAGGAAAGCGGCGCCTGTTCTCGAACACGCTCCCCGACACCCCGTCGTCATGTGAAGGCTGTGTGGCCGGCGGCTGCCAAGATACTCCGCCCATCCACGCCGACGGCGGTGCCCCCGCGGCCGAAGTAGAAGAAGCCGGCGTTCTGGTCCTCGAAGAAGTCCTGGGCGTCGGGGTAGTCGTCGGCATGGTGCCCGGCAGAACTGCACTGGCCGTTGCGGCGGTGGCCGGCAACCGGCGTTTCATCTGCTCCTTGAGGGTGTCGGCGTCCGGCAGATTGGCTGGTGGCACCACCATCAGCGCCGACGAAAATTCTGCCAACGCCACCCGGTCGTCGACTGTCATCTGCGCGGCGAGGTCCCGCCAGGCCACCCAGCCACCGGCGTGAGCTGCCTCCAAGACGCATCGGAGGTTAGCCACGGCGAGCGGCAACCCCTGCAGCGCCTTGCGCGGCACAGGAGGACAGGACGACATAGCTCAAACGGCGTCTAACTGAGTGCTGAAAAACGTCGTTCGAGCGAGAGTGCTGCGGCGATGCGCCGTTATCGCATGTTACTACACACACACGTGTGTTTCGCAACATTTACGGTAAGAGCGCTTGCGTATCAACTACACCCTGTTTTGCCAATCTTTTGGCGTCAGGGGCATGTTTGCCGAGCAGGCAAGCTGCCCCTCCACCTCAAGTCAGTGGGGTGCGTCATCCTGCACATAATCATAGAATGTCTCTGTGCAGCAGCAAATCCCCAAAAAGCTCTGAGCCGGCGGTAAAATGCCAAACCAATCAAGGCACGGTCATGCCGGGTGACTTGGAGTGTTGCAGACAGAACATGCCGCTTGGGATGGGTTGACGAGGCGCGAGAGGATAAGCTGGCCTTCTGTGTCGTGTTGGGGTGAGGCCCATGCAAGGAGATGCTCGGAACAAGGGTCTGCTTAGAAGCCGGCAGATGCTGGGAAAGAAGAAGCCAGTTGGAGCTGTGACAACCTCAAGATCCCACAGCAAGTGTTCCGCATGATGCAGGAACTGCTGAAGCCTTCCGGTGTGCTCAGGGAACTGCTATCGAATGTGCGCGGCTGGGTTCCGGTGGAATCCTGTAGCCAGTAACGGGACTGCTAGTTCTTGAGCTTGAATAAACTTGGGTCACGCTTACTTGGTGAACGCTTACTTGGTGACTGCAGATATTTTTTTTACCTGAGACTTTTTTCGCGCAAACCTGTCTGGATGCAATACCGGCTGCAACTCGGACTTGGCAGCATATCCGCCTCGTGCTCAGCATGAAACTGATGTCCACATAGTTGATGGCGGCCTCGCCGTCAACACCTCGAAAAGGCATCTGTCGAGGGTACTGATAGCTGAGGAAGTTTCGACTGAGGCTGGTGCCGTTGCCTTGGTTGTAAGCTTTTAGCCGTGGGTCCAACCTGATTTTCTGGGTGGTAGTCGGCAAAGTTGTCGATTTCACGTTGCGCTAGATTTCTGGGAAAGCTACACCACCTGGATCTGGAAGCCGAACACCTGAAACAGAACTCGAACAAGCCTAACAGTGTATAGTCGTAATGTCGTAGCAACTTGTCCATGACTGTTCTGAGGGGCGTGCCCAGGACTCCGACATGAGGGGCAGCATGTTGCTGTCATAGATCCTCGAAGCCAAACTTGCTTGGGAAGCTCTGAAGGGTTGCTGCAAATGTCCAAGGTTGAAGACATGCTTGGAGAAACTGAGCAGATCGCGTAAAGCCCCAAAAGTTCCGTGCTGGGGTAAACATGGGATTCTGCACCTCGTCTCAACATGGGCAGGCACATAGGAACGCTGAAGGGGTTCTTGTGTCAGAGCCCGGCCGTTGCAAAAAGTCCGTAATCTCCAAGTTCCCACGAGCCCGACTTAGCCATTCAAAGCTTACAAAAGGAAGGCACTGGTGACAAGCCAGGAGTCGCAGCAGTGGCTGAGGGCTTGTCGATCGTGACTCTTGCGATGTGCTGCATGCTGGAATCTGCTGCACCCATTCCCTGGCCTCTCGCACATTCATTCCAGTTCGTGAAGCGGCATCTTGCAGCTGAGGGCCGGGCATAAATCCATTTGTGGGCCGATGCGCATCAATGGTATCCAAGTGGCCCAGCCAACCTGAACATGCTTCGACAAATCGACACGCTGCATGGATTTGTACTTGCAGCCAGCCTTCTTTGCGATGCTACAGCTACACTCTTAGATCTGCCTTCTGGGCTCTTCGCAACTCCTGTTACTGTTCCTCTTCGAGCCATGAACTGGGCAGGCGAGCCAAGCCATCGCAGGCATCCGCGAAAATGAACCCGATCTCAGCACAGATCAGAGTGACGCCATGACATCTTGGCTAAGCCGTAAGCTTGAGCCATACCTGCAAAGACCTAAGACCATGACAGGAGCGCGGACCTCCAAAACCTCGGGGTAAGCAATACTTCGACATGGATTGCGACAGGCAGCAGTTGCTGGCAAGACCGTCTGCACAGAAGATCAAGAACATGCCACGGCACTGAAGGTTCCGTGACAGCCAGGGTTGTGCCAATCACAAACGAGACCACCTTGCAAGCCGGCTCCGTCGTGGAGACTGCAAAAACAAGCGACGTCTAGAATTTCTCAAGCCAGCAGCATTTGATGTTGCTTCGACCACGCGGTCCTGACAGGTGATGGCGGTACGCTTTGAAGGCCACACCGCCAGTACAAAGAATCAGTCCTCCCGAACTTCAAATTGCATGTAGCGTGTGTTGTCCATCCTCTGGGCGAGCCTTGAGAATACTAAAACTGCGTGGAGCGAGTGAAAGGCACCGCCATCCACTAGATTGTCTTGATTCTTGATGTTCTATCTGGGCTTCTGTCTGAAAGCCGGCTGCCTGTCCTTCTTCGACAACCTGACACACGAAATGCAGGAAGCAGTGTGCTGCAGGGCATGGCCGGGAGTGTGCCCCAATGACAAGGCAACATGCGTGAAGTGGGTCGCCAAGGTACGCTCATTGCAGATTCTGGCCGCCGGGTGACTGTGAGCATGCAGGCTAGGGTGAGACTTCCCACACCATGTGTGTGAGTGAAACGCATGGAACAAGTAAGCTGCAGGCATCGTCCGCACTGCCATGCAACTATTGATCCCGCTTTTGGAATTCATTCAAGTGCTCCGCATTGATTGAAGTCTCTGTATTTGTCGCACTTGCCGCATGGCTTAGACAGCTCGTCGGTTTGCGTCCTGCAAGTTCTGAATAGCGAAGTCAGGAACCATTTCGTCTCCTTGGACTAGGCAAACATGCGGGTCAGAGTTGGCAAGCTCATAGCCACTTCAAGGGCATAACCCCCGGCAAATTACGGCTGCCCACTGTATTGTCTCCGCTAACATGATCATCAGGGAGAAACCCAGAAACCCTTAAGGCCTTAAGGCTGTCTTCGCACGCTAAAGGTCAGTACCCCTTGCCACGGGCATAGATTGAATTTTAGCCACTGTGGTCGGTTTTAGTAGTCAAAAACAAACCGATGGGGAGTGGATGAAAGAAAGCCCGGGCCTGCTGTATAACAGCAGCCACGAAACAACCGGTGAATGATTCGATGATCGAAAAGGCTGCTTTTCAATGCTGGGACTCCTGACCCAGCAGCTCCTTAGCAACAGATTCCTCCAGACAGGGTGCCAGCTCGTCAGTGGCCACTGGCGCAGACAAGGCACCCCACAAACAGTCGCAATCAATCCAAGTACACGTGTCAAACCAAGAGAAGTTCGTATCCACGACTCCACTAGGCCGGCAGTTTGATGTCCATACGAGAGCCCAATCGACCTGAGCTAAAACGGGGGCTGAACGCCTGGTCGTGGGGACGGACAGTAGAAGACTGTCCGAAGGGCTTCAACCAGTTCGTCGTCTACCGGTAGTCCGAGGGTCGTATTGCTGGAGGCTTGAGCAGGTCCTTGCGTGGCCACGGCTGGCACACAGGATAAGCGCCGCAAGTGTTGTGGCCTCAGAGCTTTGTTTGAAGCGGTGTACTTGGGTGCAACACGCTTGTGGATTAACTTGTTTTAGCAAACATCCTATGGGCACCCCGAAGACACTGGCGCAACATGTCGGGATGGCCCTGGGCTTAACTGGTGCCGGGCATGGAAAATGTTGCCGACAATATTTCTGCGTAATCCTGGAATCAGGGCCTTTTGGTCCGTGACAATACAATCCGAACAATCCCGTGAAAACTCCATGAAAGTCGAGACGAATGCTCGCCTTGCAGCAGAGACCTCGAAGCCCAAAGCCCTGGTGCAACCATTGATGCCATGGGGGCAACCTTCAATAGCTTCGTGTCGGTTCATATTAGGTCCTCTAACAACATCCCACATGTCCCTGTGATGCAAAACGAAGATTGGAAAGCGCGGCCGCCGAAATGCTACCCTGATGTTGCCGAAGGTCCCGGTAACCTTCCATAGTCGAACCCCTCTCCCGGAAACAATAACCAATGCCAGGCAGCCCTTGAAAGCATCAGCGACGTGGCTCACGGGTATGCCGGCATGGCTCTTGCTCTCTGACTTGGCGCATGTGGAGCCGGATCGGCTTCGTATACAGGCCGGCAAAGCGTGGTCTGCATGTGGCAGCACTGATTGAACCATCTACACAAATGTTCTGGCTTCCCGGCTGTTGCTAGTTAAGCGCTGTCGTGCCTCACCATCAAGCATCGTGGCCAAGCGAAAGAAGTTTCGCAGAGGGTCAATGAACCTCCAGGCTGGAACATCCCACCCTCAACGAGCAAACGTAACTGAGCTGACTCCGACCTCGCATTCACAACGTCGATCGTGAAGGCATATCGTGTATCTCCCTTGGCGCTGCGAGTAATAGCACGGCTACAAGTTCAGGCTGAGATCTCCTCACCTGCACACCTGAAGGGAGCTCCAGGAAAAGCCTCGACAGCCCAGGCAGAGATCACAGAGCGTTGTGACAAACGCCAACTCGGACCAAGGTGCTTGTTTCGGTTGGCCAACGTGTTGTGATCCACGTTGCACGTCACGTCGCTCGGCAACGAGATAGAGTATGTCGGCATATACACAGTTGGCGACAATGGGCAAATGTAGGTGAACCTCGGGAATATGGTTCAGTGGTGGCAAACGTCAAATCGGTCTCACGAGGCATCTGCCCGGGCGGTGCTTCTACCAGGAGCATCGCAGGTATGAGCTCTGTCCTGTCGCGGTTGAAGGCTACACACGCAGCATGTGCATAGGCTCGCATCGCACCCTGATGCCGTAGCTCGCAGGAAGGGCATGACCTGCGAGCTCGGAGATTACGACAGTGGCAGGCACAGTGAGCAAGCCAAGGTCTGCACGTGCAGCTGCGCGCAGAATAAAGCTGAACACCGCTGAGCTCCAGACTTCCATTGTCGTCTCAAACACCTGACAGTGGGATTCTCTACTGGTTTTTTGGCTCCCACATGGCAGTCCGTGTTGCATGCCAAAGTCTCTCTGGCGGTGCTCCTACAGCCTCTCTGTGAGACGGACTTCTCGGTCAAACCACCTTGGCCTTTCATTACTTCATTGCACCGCAACTGGGCTGGTCGTTGCCGAGTTTTGCGGGTGTTGGCAAGCCATGATCCGGCAGCGATCCCATCTGCTCGAGCACCACAACAATATGTACGTCAACAAGCCGATTTTCGCGCGTGGTTTTTTTGAAAGACATCTCATGGGTGAGTGACTTTGGGCTGAGCTCTGCTGCTTATGCTGTCTCCAAGCCTGTTCTACATCTGATGGCTTTTTAGGGTCCTATCGATGCTCTTTGCTTCTAGTCGTACAGTATACGTGCGTTCTCTCTCTCTCTCTCTCTCTCTTTCTTTCGGCAGGGCTATGGGCATGAGGATTGCTCCCCATGCCTCTCTCTCTCTCTCTCTCTCTCTCTCTTCTTCGACACAGCCAGAGAAAGGGCACGTCCGAGCCCTCCCCCGCGCGCGTGCGCGCCCTGCTTGTCTGGGGTCGGTGCAAACTCTACTCGATGAGGCCTGTGTTTTGAAACTGTGGTCCCCCCTAAACCTAATAGACAACCCCCAGGCCTCGTCGTTTAAGGAGGACACAAGCTCTGTACATCAAACTCGCATCTTCCAAGCTTGACAACTCTTCACGGCTCCGTTGCCCCCGCTTCAGCAAGCAAGCAAACAAACAAGACAAGTAAACCTAGAATGCACAACTTCTCGGCAGGGCTTCGGGCTCCCCCGTGATGGCACGAACAAGCATCAAGGCTGACACGACTACTCCCCTTCATCTATCAGACCCCAACACTTGTGCCCACGGCGAAAGAGTGCTTGCAGCTTGGCATCCTCCCCTATTCTACTGTGGTCCCCTTCGGTGCAGGTCTCCGAAACAGCTACACTGAAGGTACAACACAGGACCAAGCTTCTGAGGTAGACCTCTCTCTCTCTCTCTCTTTCTTTCGCCGGGGCTGTGGGCTAGAGGGAAGCCCCCCTAGCCCGCGCGCTGTCGCGCCCCCGACCGTTTTGGAGGGGCAGGAACGACACAACCTCACTACAAAGGCAACTTCTCGGGAAGGTTCAATGCACACAACACGAATGGAATAATAAGACAGAAGTGCATTACGCGTTACTGTTATTGTTGCCTTGACGGGACTTCACGCCCCCCTCTTGGCCGACTTTCAGGGATCAGGTAAAGCAATGGAGTAACGGCGTACAAGGACTCAGCATAACGGCAGACAAAGGCTGAACTGTCGGCTCTCAGGGGTTTGCCCCCCTTCTGCCCTCTGTATGGGCCTTCTGTACTGGGGAATTTGGCGTCATGTCGAGGGCGAATTCCCTCCTTGGCGTGGTCTCCTGAAATCTTGTGGGGAAGTGCTGCATCGATCATGAGGGAGCCGAGTGAAAAGCCGCCATCATCAACCAGGTCCACGGGCCGTGCAGCACTTCCGGCGGACCCTAGACTGCAGAGGGGGGTGACCCCGTTTGGGTTAACAACCTTCAATGGAAGCCCTCCCTCAGCAACCTACCGAAGTCAACAGAACCTGAACCTCAAGTCAAAACCCTGGGTCACTCCCGTGCAGAGGTGATGCAAGCACTACGGTCCCTTTCACTGTCATTCGCTCAGCGGAGGGTGTCATCGAGCGCTGCGTGCAACCGTCGCCGTCGATGTGAGGTCTGACTTGAGTACTCCCGGTCTTCCTCTTCCTCGCCTGTGGTAGCAGCATCAGCTGCCGTGCATTCCAGCTCCGATTGGGGTGCTCCCCCAGAATCAGCTGGGTTCCAAGGGATGGTCTCGGCTGTCGAGTCGGGGCTCGGCTGCCCTGCAGTTTGGTTTTCCACAAGAACCACCGGCGACCCCCACAAAGCTGTGGTCCACTGGAAGAGGTAGCTATGGGCCTCTGCCACGGCCGTTGCCACATCATGCTCAAGGAAAGGGAGCACTCCCTCAATCATCTGTTGGGCCCTAAGCACCTGATACGGCGTGGCCTCTCCTGCTGCTTGCTGCCTCCCCTGGGGCAAAGGGTGCCGCCGTTGTAGTTCGCGAAGTGCTGGTAGAGCTGGTTCTGGTACTTCACGTTGTCCCGCTCCTGCTTGGTCAAGTCCAGGATCACCATGTTGGAAGGCTGGGCGCTGGCCACTGCTTGTAGCTACTTCTCGGCGTGCTCTCTTAGGGGACGGACTCCCCTCCGGTACGTTCGCTGCAAACTTGTCGTGGAGCCAGTTGATCAGCTCCTCCATGAATTTGTTGCTTCGCTTGGCCGCTGCAGCTGCAATTTGTAGCGCCTCTTCCATATTCGCGACTCCACCTTCTTCCACCGCCAGCAACGCCCAGTCGATGCCATCCAGGGTGTTTCTCACCGCGGCTGTGCCGGGGAGGGCTCCCGGTGCTTCTGGGTCAGACGCCCAGCTTTTGAGAATGGCCTTGGCGTCTTTCAGGAGCTCCTCTGCTCTTGTGAGCTCGCGTTGTAGATGGCGTCGGGGTAATCCCCCATGGTTGGCCGCTAGATGCGCGAGCGTAGCTTCCGCTTCAATGATGGGGTTTCTAATGTTGAGCACTGTGTCCGTAGGCTCTGTTCTCGGCACGGTCGCAGGGGGCCTCATTGAAGTTCTCCCGGTCTGCAACTCTTGTAACTTCCTGTGGTAGAAGCAAGCATAGTAGGCCAGTTCCGTGGTATATTCTTGTGGTTGATGGAAGGTCTGTTCCAACAGTTCATGTATAATTCTCCCCAGGAGCTCCATGACTTTCTCCAGGGTGTAACCGTCGGCGAAGTTAGCGGCAACGGAGAACCACTCCGATCTCGAGGATGTCGTAGTTGGATGTTGTGAAGATTGCTCTGGTTGGGAGGGCTGTCGTTGAGGTGGTTCTCTCCCCGCTGGACTCCTTTGCATGAAGGACATCACATCTTCAATGGATGAACCAGCCAGATCAGGTTTCATACCCAGTTGAAGTAGGGCATGTCCATCGCGTTCTTGGTCAGGTTTGCTCGGCGAGGGCGACGGGTCTAGCGGATCTTCACTGGGCCAGCTGGTTTCCGTGTCTGAGCCCGAACTCGCTGACGGCGGGGGGGGCGGCTTGGACTTCGACAGAGCTTTCACAGAAGCCCTGGCAGGGCGGCCCAAGGTGGCATCCGTGATCCCAGTTGTCTGTTGGCGTAGTAGAGCTTGTTGTGGTCGTCGCGCAGGATCATCGAGGTGAGGAGGCGATCCCTCGCCTGCTGTGCGTTGGACTCCTTTGGGTTGTACCGGTCCTTGAGCCTCCAGGTTGGAGCGACGCCCTTGGTGAGCCAATGGCCTGGCGGGTTGCCCCGCATGTGGTTGTTGAGGTAGATGTCCTTGATGTCTATCCGGGGGCGTTGGTGGGCGCGGCTGTTCCGGCTGCGGAATCGTGGCAAACCCACCAAGATGGGCGATGTCCCCATCAAATCTTGGTCGTCGGGTCCACTCTGCTTGCTCTCCCCGCCATTCTAGGAAAAAGGACTCGCCGGCTTGCAGGGGTATGCCCCCTTCTGTGTTTTGTGGCGCTGCTTCGATCTGGGCAAGCCAATACCTCGGCGTACGGGCGAAGCTTAATTCGAATCGGGTAACCCCAATCCAGGCCCCCACGGGTCGCAGCGTTAGGCGCACACCAGGCTGGATGGTGTCCGTGGCGCTCGGGGCGCTGAGGGTTTTGTAAGCCACGATGGTGGGGAACTGTAGTACTCGGACGGGATGACGAATAGTCTCCCCGGGAGTAGGTGCCCACACCACGCCTCTCCTGCCTTTGAGTGTAATGACCGTATTGGGGGCCAGCGGTATGGCGGGCGGGATGGTGGGAGGTCCCGCTCCCGACGTCCAAGCGATGTCAAAGCTGGTATCTCCAACTCTAATCGACGATCTCATGGCATGTCCACCATCAGCGATTGTCCAGGCTGGGGCGCGACCTTGTTGTATAGCCCGCGTGGCCTCCAGTTGTAGGTCCGACATGTCGATGTCTGCAAGGGCTTGGGGGTTGCCCCCCCTCTGAGCTGGATTCGGTGGTGTCGAGGACCTGA